AACATAATTATGTAGTTAGAGAGCATAGTATGTGTAGAGCAATTATCTATAACCAAGAAAATGAGGCACTCAAGCATAGTATTTCAATCCATTAATCACTAAATGAACATCTCCTTGATCATTTATATCAAATGATTCTAATGCCACTAGATCAAGAAATTGACTTTATTGATGCTAAACAACAATCTTAACAGCTCAAATTTGTGAATCACATGCAATGATAGTTTGTTTATGCCAGTTACATTGTTACAAGCTAGTATGATAAAGAGATTTATTGACTGCTTTGTGTTGCCACAGTAATCCTTGACAATTGAAAGAGAGCCAAGTATTTGATAATATAAGCCAATTTTATTGCAATTATAGATATCTTTAGGATTCCAATCTTTAGTGAGCTCTTTTATAACTTTGCAATCTTTAAGAATTAGGTCATCTAGAATACAAGGTACATCACTATGCAAGAGAGAGGTCTAAAGAATGTTTCTCTTCATAAATCTAATATGCCACAATATTGAAGCCTTGAAGTTGAGGTACTAATCACGTGCCAATTCTCGCACCCACATTTCCATCAACATGCTAATAACCACACTTCTATTGAGATTGACGCTAATAATGTGTTATACAAGCATTTCTTCAATATTAATACCAAGCATGTATTCTCAATGGTGCATGATGTTGCTAGCAAGATAAACCACATTTTTTTCCTTATTGCAAATCATCTAGGTCATAACAACAAGAGAAATACCAAAAACTTGAGCTATCTTTGTAAGCTTTTATTTTTTCTTGTTGTCAATCACATCTTCATTCATCTTGATGATCACAAGGTATGTAACATCAATGAGCTTGGTTGGAGATTTATGCTTAGAAGAAATGATCTTAGCTACCGAATGAGTGATTATACTTAGTGTAGGCATTCTGTTGATATTGTTGTTTTGCAATCTACATGGTGTTGTGTTGTGATTTGGCTACCATGTAAAAATAATGTACATATATATTTTATTATACAATTTCATAAAAGCCATGTTATTAAATTTTAGTTAATTTCAAAATGTAACTAGATTACCACTTTGAAGTAATTAGTTTAAAAAGGCTATTATTGAGGTTGATTTAATATAGATAATAGTTTTTATATATTTAGAGTCACCTTTATTAGACATTAGTGACTCTTAAAATCTTATTTTGTTTCTTTTATTTAGTTTTTAAGACACATACTATGTAAAAATTATTTAAAAATGATTAGAGAAGGATTTTTGAATAAAAAGAGTAGTTAGGCTAATAATATGGCTTAATGGAAATAGATGATGAAATTCATACCTAATAGACTTCAAAGAGGCTGTCCAAGGCCTTATTAGGAATTAGTGTTATTCTTTTAGAGAGATTTGAACTTGGGAGGCTAAGTTCAAAAAATTTAGGTTTTTAGCTATGATGGCTCAAAATATAATGAAAGAGATATAGGCACTCAAAGTTAAGATATTAATTTTGTACCTATTGTCACTCTTTTGGATGTAATGTATGTATATCAAAAAGATCAGCAACTAGGGTTGGAGAAAACTCTTTTTCAACTATACTTTTTGCATATTGCTTCATGAATTCTAAGTTGAAATAAAAGAGATATAGAAAGTTGAAGTTAGCACTTGCAATCTAATGGCAATAAGTAATCCAATCTACTAGCGGTTGTATTTTGAGCTATATCTTGAGTAATTTAACAAGATTTTAGCTCAAAATTTCTAAAAATAAGTATTATCATGTTATTAAATTTTATACATAAATTTTGTAGCATTTGAATTTTTATTTTTGAGATATACAAAAAAATAGTATTTGGATTCTTATAATTTAGGATTTAAAGCACCTGCTATGATTTCTAAGGTGCCAAAAAATCTATAGTAGACTTACAATTTTTTTATTTTTGTGGTAAAGCTTAAGGATAAAAGCTACAATTTTTAAAAAATTGAAATAAATTGAATGGTCTCATGATATAACACGACTAATAGGTAAAAGAGTGTAGAAATTATTATATTATAGAATATCTTAGTTCAAAATATTATAGCAAATTATCTTAGAAATATAGATAATAGTCAAAAAGATAGTAAAATTAAAAAATATTAATATTACTTTTCATAAAATAAACTTCTATTTACTTTGTAGGACCATAAATAAGACAAAATAAAGTAAATTAGAAAATTAAATGATATAGATATATGTAGGATGGAGTTAAGATTATATTTTAGTAAAATTTATCTCAATAAGCGAAGAATTAATATCCAAAGATGACCAGTTGTCAATCTAGATGAAAATTAGACCTCGAAGGACAAAATTGTACACCTACAATAACTTTGGGATTTTTTTAAAGTTCAAAGAGTAAGATTTGATAGCAGACTTGATAGAGTTTTTATAAGCATTGGTTTTGTTTGATTTGGATTTGTAATGACTTTGTAAGATCCTTACAAAATCAAGATTATTTTGGATCACTTGGATTTTTGTGAAATAAAATAAGATTGACATTTTGGGCAATTTCAAGAGTTTTGTAGTAAATCTATGGATGAAATTTTGTGGATTAATGGTTATAATTGTGTTTAATATGTATTATAAATATCAACATGATCTAATGGTTGAATTAAAGATTATTGAGGTTTAAGTGGATTAGACTCTCAAAAAGTAGAATTTTAGATCTAATGAGGATTTCTAAGATTTCTTATAATCTTCTAATTAAATTAGAATGAAAGTTATGTATGTAGGTAGTAGACTTATTTTCCTATGTATATGAAAATTTTGAGATCAATTGAAGAGTGCAAAAGGGAGATGTTAGCACTAGAAGATCAGTATCAAGGTTGGAAAAGGAGGACAACCAACATCTGAGCAGTTTTTAGGATTTTTCTTCCATTTGGTAAGTGTGATTGTCTTAAAATTAGTTATACTTTTTTTTAATTAAGAAATTGAGAGGTGTATAAAATTTTAAATAAGATAAATAATTTAATCAAAAGTTATCAAGGTTCTAAACTACCTTAGGATTTGGTTAGGGTTTGGTTATGATTTAGGATTTGAATAAGATTTGGTTTAAAATTGAAGGTTTGGTAAGGGTTTGTTTTAGGGTTTAGGATTTGGTTAAGATTTGGTTTAGGATTTAGAATTTTTTTAGAGTTTGATTTAGGATTTAGAGTTTAATTAGGATTTAATTGAAGTCTATTAAGGTTTCAACTATGATTAAATTAGAACTTGATTGAGATTTATTTAAAATATATTGTGATTAATTTAATATTTTTTAAAACTTCTTAAGAATTCTTTTAAGGTTTATTGTGGATTATCTTTCAACTCTTTTAAAATTTCTTATTATTTATTTTGTAATTTCTTTAAGATTTTGTTTGAATTTAATTAAAGCTTGTTTAGCATTGTTGAGGTTTAATTAGAATTTATTTAGTATTCTATTAGAATTAAGATTTTGTTATTGTAATTTCCATTCTACCTTCCTTAGCTAGGTGCTCAATGCACTCTCAAATAAAACTTCACATAATATGACAAGGGTTGGATTAAGAAATATGATATTCTAAAGTTTAGAGAGAAAAAAAATCTTAAGTGGGAAAAAAAATATTTTGAAAGGATTTTGCTACAATTTAGATATTTTATGTAAAGTAAATGAGATTTTGAGAGCCAAGACTTTATTTATATGTTAAAAATAGAGATATAGGGATATAAAAAATTTATGATATAAAGATAGATTTTTGTAAGAAGATTATGGATTTTTTTTTTAAGCTTATGACAAATCTATCTTACCAGCAAATAATTAGTTATGATTTGAGATAGCAAAGGATGTTAAGGAATTTGTAGATGCTTTAAGAATCCTTGTGTACAAACCTTCTTAAATATAAAAGTTTTTTGTTATTAGAATACCTTTCTATATTCCTACTTTTATTTATCTTCTATAATAAGAATAAATCACTTATTAGAGCTTGGCTAATAAATTAAAGCTAAACTCTCTACAGTTAGGTACCTAATATATTCCTCGATAGAAAATTACACTATATCACAGTGATATCTTTCATGCCAAAGAAGATTTAATGAAATCAACACACTGCAATAAAAGAAGAAAGCAAAAATCCATGTCTATTTCATTAGGCTACCTATTGTTCCATATTGCTAAGCAACATCAATGGGCATGGTGAAGTGGCACAGTAGACTGGACAATGGCCTAGCATGTAGTGCACATTGCATAGTGCATACTAGTAGTTGTCACTGTGCTCTTTGAATGTGCACTCACAGACAAGAACATTGCAAATCCAACTAATGGCATTAGTATCCATAGCTATGTTGTGTGGATTGAGGATAGTGGCATTTGCACAGAGGAGCAAAAAGTTGTTGTTAATGAGACGCATTATGTGATGTGTTGGCTGAGGTGGTACTTGCTCATAATGGAGCATTGATCCTAACCATACTTTTTTCTTACTAAAAAACATGGGCAAGCACATAAAAAAAAATGGAACAGTGCTCTTATCCATTTTTTTCTCCCAAGCATTTTTCTCCCAACCAGACACCACTGTATATATGTATATAATTGCTTCGATTCTAATTAAATTTTATTACAGACCTAAGTGCAAAGTGTTCCAAATAAAGACAAAAGAAAAAATCATGCTGAATTAAAAGTATGTGGAACTCATTCAATAAGCCATCCAAGCCTACGACAGAGTATACTGGCGTCGATGTGACGTTAAAGTAAACTCATTACTTTAAAGGAACGTTTAAAGGAGAAAAGGGAGAAGCGTCATGGGGTGGTGGCAGGCTCCAGTGGATGCGATTGAGCTGGAAAAGTAACAAAAAAGTAAGACGATGTCCCGACGATAAAAAAAATTCTCGTCAATTTGCGTCCGCCGACAGTCGCCGTCAGTGCTGTCGCAAGGGGGCAACTGTGGAGGGCTCCCTCACATCGCCATAGCTACGCTGCGACTGATGAGAGCGAGCTTGCAACTGGTTCAAGGTTGCTCTCGGAGTATGTAACGCTGCTCTCTGTGAGCCCCCCTCCCCCCTGTGTGCTTTGTGGAGCCTTCATTGGAATTTTCGTAAAGCATCGAGGGAATTGTGAGAAGCTCCTCGGTTTCGTTGTAGCGCGAAGGCTGGCTGTGATATTGAAATTGGCGTTCCGTTGTATTTATTGCATCGTGGTCACGGGATTTTTGAGACGAGAAGTTGAGTGAAGCTAGCATGGCATGCTTTAGCTGGTCTTGGGAGATTGTTGTCGGGCAAGGTTTGCGCTGCCGGGTAACGATTATTGCTTCAATTGATTTGTTGTAGTGCTGTTGCTGTCCACGCACGGCTGCTCGTTGCTTTGTTCCGCCCTCGTGCTGATTTGATTTTCGAACGGTGTTTTGTATGTTTACATTATTTTAATGAAGGTGGTTTCTTCAATTTCATCACCTTCATTAAAATAATGTAATGTAACAAGATGGCGACAAATTTGCAGTCGATTATCTTGAATGAGGGATGGGTTGCGGCGCGTGCGTCAGATGTTCAACTACGTGGACAAGACCTTACAACTTCTCAATTTCCTTCTTTGAACAGCGACCTATGGATGGAAGCAGTGGTGCCTGGAACGTATGTTACGTTTGAGCTCGCTTTTTTGTTCCTTTCGTTATGTTCTTGTTCGAAATTCTGTCCAGATATCGTGTGATATTTCTGAGAATGCTGTAACTTACAGGAGGCATCTGATCCTTGGAGAATATTGCAGTTCTTGGCTATTGTGCTGTTTGGCTGCTTGTTGGATTCCAGTGACAATATGTAGCTTCTTACGGTGAATGGCATTGATGTTTTTAGGGTTTTGACCACACTTCTCAAGAACGATCTCGTCCCCGACCCATTTTATGGCCTAAACAATTTGGAAGTGCCCGACATAGCCGATGTTGGTCGTGAGTACTACACTTTCTGGTTCTGCAACAGGTTCAAGCTTCCCAGAGTGGTGGGTCTTATTTGATGGCTACATCTGGATTGAAGGTCATGTTGTTCGCTTGACGATTGCATGCTGTGGTACTGAAAAATACTATGGGAATCACATGACACAGGAATTGGTAAAATGGCAGAGTGAAGAACTTGAGATTGGGGTCTTTTTTTTAAAAAATTAATTTTTTAATTTTTATATATAGATTTTTAACACAATCTTGCTGTGAGTTTAAAGATTTATGCAAGGGTTTAGTTGATTGTCATTGCAGCCGCAAGATGGGAAAGTATGGTTGAACTTTCGTGCCATCAATTATCAAGCTGAGGTATTTCTAAACGGCTTCAGTGTATTGCTGTCTAAAGGCATGTTCTTGAGACACACAATTGATATTACTGACTGGCTCAATGTTTATGAGGAGAATCGATTGGCTGTTTTGGTCCACCCTCCGGACCATCCCGGACGTATTCCTCCCGAAGGTGGTCAAGGGGGAGACCATGATGTAAGATTCTCCCATCTACAGTCTGTGCAATGTTGTCCTGAACTCTAGCACTGTTCCTCTCGAATGCGATTCTGAACCTTGGCCTGTGTTTATGACCAGACTATGTCTATCTGGACGATCTTCTATGTATTGAGCATCCAGTAGAGTAATTTGTAATGCCTATATTTATACAGTGGCGTATTTCAAGATGCTGAAAACTGTGCCAAGTAAATATCAGGAGTTTTAGATTAAGGAATGAATATTTATTTTAATACTGACAATTTAATCTTTCATTCACTAGACTGGTGTATATTGCCTGTCATGTTCGCTTACCAATTTTTTCTATCAATCGCTTATATCGACTTCCGAGGTCTTCTAGATAAACAATGAGAACTTTTAGTCACGGATGCTTCAAGCACAACCGATCGTGTCAATAACGACAACTTCTTCATATTCGGCAGATTGCAAAGGACGTAGCTGCTCAATATGTGGAAGGCTGGGATTGGATCTGCTCCATTGGGTATATCTTGCTTTTATCTTTTACTCATGCTTGCTGAATGTTCTTCCCTATGAACTACGGATCTCAGTAAATGTAAGGGATCCTTAGAAGAATATGTTCTGCAACAGTGACTGCAATGAAGTATCATATCTCTTTCGATAGTGATCAATTCTAGTTTCTATTGTTGTAGACTGTCGACACATTGTTCACAACTGGTCACTAAATCTGGTTCATTTCCTCTCGTGTAGGGATCGGAACACTGGTATCTGGGATGTTGTGTCTATACAGCAAACAGGGGTAATTGTTTGTGGCTTTTGTTTTTTGGTCAATCTGCAAATTTAAAAACTGCTTAAACATCCTCACACTTGTCAAAGCGTAGGCTGTTCCGAGCTGACCAGCTGCATTTTGTATTTCCTTCCCGTACAATATGACCTTAAACAAGTAGTATTGCACAAAATCCTGCAAATGTGTTGGTCTAGATTTTGTCTAATTGGAGCAAGTGCATGCGCTGATACCTTGCTGATGTCAATGCAGCCAGTGCGGCTTGTGGATCCTCATTTGGTGGCAACATTCCACAACTCTTACACACAAGCTGATTTATGGATGACTACGGAGCTTTTCAACGCATGCTCAACTCGAGTAACTGTGACTGTCACACTGAACGTTTCTCTTGATGATGCGAGTGAATTTTGCATAGTAGATCATGTGCATACAAGTGAAGATATCGTATTAGAGGGAAACTCAACCAAGTTATATTCTATACCTCCGGTAATCTTCTTTATCAAATAGTTGCACCTTTCTGTTCTCAATTGCATTGCTTATTAAGCTACATCTTGAACTTAACCATCGTCTCTGCACCCTTGCTGCGTCCTCAAGTGGTCGTTCTGATCCATCGGTGCATTATGACAGCTTCCGTTCCAGAGTCCAGCGCTATGGTGGCCGAATGGCTTAGGAGACCAGCCATTATACAAAGTGGACATTACCTTAGATGTGCGAGAATACGGAGAATCTGACTCTTGGAGTCATTTGTTTGGTTTTCGTCATATAGACTCTTATATTGACCCCTCAACGAATGGACGGTACACCTTCTATTCACGACTCAGTTGGTTTCAATGGAACATATTCTTCTTAGGATCCCTTACCATGTGCATCTAACATAACATGCTGCAAACGTTGTTTCCTCAGACTTTGTCAGCATTTCAGTTGTTCATCAAATTTTACATTTGAGACTTTGAACTTTATGATACGTTCAGAAATGAGGTCTATTATTACAAATGAAGCATGAGACGAATAGAGTAAGGTCTTTGTCCTAGTTTAAGCTCATCTTTGCTCGAATAAACCATGCATATGGGAGCACTTGCAAGTATTAGAATTTTTGGCCCGTTTGGTCCTTAAATGCTTTTACTAATACAGAATATATGGCCATGGCCATATATATGACATGACCATATAATACCGTGTGTATGCGGAATGACATATATAATATATCCTGTATTAGTAAAAGCATATATTATGACCATATTCATATATATATATATATATATATATATATACGGTTTTCCCCTAAAAATATCTGGTTTTGCAACTTTCTATGTATCTGTTATAATTAAGCTATGCAATATTTCTTTGGTATTGCCAGGTATCTTAAATTTCTTCTTGAAGGCCTTCTGAACTAGTGCTAGTGAACACAGGACGTTCGTAGTCAATGGAGAGCCTATTTTTATTAGAGGGGGCAATTGGATTGTCTCGGATGGTTTACTGCGCCTCTCAAAAGATAGGTACGAAACAGAAGTTAACTTTCACGCCGATATGAACTTGAACATGATACGTATATGGGGTGGTGCGTTAGCCGAGCGACCGGAGTTTTACACCGCTTGTGACAAGCGTGGGCTTTTGGTATAAATCGGCAGCCCTTGGTTTTGGTTTAATTGGGTATATCTGGTCGCGTTTGTGTTAGACCATTCCAACTTTTCACAACATTATTGAAGAATTCTAATTTAACTGTATCTTATACTTGCAGGTGTGGCAGGAATTCTGGATAACAGGCGACTGCAATGGACGAGGAATAGAACCATCGGATCCAAATTGGCCACTTGACCATGACCTCTTCCTCACTTGCGCACATGACACTGTCAAGCTATTACGCAACCATGCAAGTTTAGCTCTTTGGTGTGGAGGGAATGAACAACACCCTGCTGCAGATATAAATGAAGCTCTTGAAAAAAACTTGAAAATTGTAACTAGTGGTGAAAATCCGAGCATGTCCTTAGATGGCACCAGACTTTACATTCAAGGTTGATTGCTACACAAAACTTTCACATTTATTTGTGTTGTTTCAACTTGCGTTTAAGAGACAGTATTAATCGATTGGGCTGAATTGTTCCCATGAAAGAAAAGTTATATTTTATTTCTAATTTCATGATGTGCTTTATAGGCTCATTATGGAGTGGTATTGCGGCTGGAAATGGCTTATTCCGTGATGGTCCTTATGGGATTCAAGTGCCTGAAAATTTCTTTGAGATGGATTACTATAAATATGCATTTAACCCAGAAATTGGCAATGTCGGGGTTCCAAAGGCTGAGACAATTCGTGCAACTATGCCACCAGAAGCTTGGGATCCTCCCTCACTCTTGAATGGAGAGCACCCAAATAGTACATGGGACTACCACAAGTATATTCCCTATGCAGATGCGCAAAAGCTTGTACCTGGACAAATTGAAGCATTTGGTGAATACGATGGCCTGGACGACTTTTGTGAAAAGGTTAGTAGTATCTGAAATTTGTCAAGTTGGTGTCTGAAAGCCTGCTATGGTGCATTTGAATTCGCTAAATAAATTTGAATCCGTTATTATAATTTTCTAATTGAACTTTTGACGCTCTGTAGGCACAACTAGTGAACTATTTTCAATATCGAGCACTATTCGAAGGATGGAATTCCTGGATGTGGACAAAGTACACTGGATTGTTGATATGGAAAACGCAAAACCCTTGGCCAGGTCTTCGAGGTCAGATGTATGATTTCCTGCTCGACCAGACAGGAGCTTTTTTTGGCCTGCGTAGTGCTGCTGAAAGTGTACACGTTCAGTTGAATCTCCTTAACTACAATATCGAGGTACATGTGGTGCTTTTCAATCTTGATAAATGTTGAGATTTGGTTCGAGTGCTCGAGCTTTTGGAAGGCTATTCTGCATCCAAGTCTTACAACGCACATTCGCCTGCCTTGTTTCCAGATTGTCAATACGACACGTGAACCACTTTCTGAAAGTATCGTGGAGGCTTCATTTTTTGATCTGAGTGGGGAGAAAAAATATTTCGACACATTGAGAGGACTCACAGTTGCACCTAAAACTACCACCACAGTGGGCAACATCCCGCTATTCAAGTCGATCAATGATGACCCAACGTACTTCGTGCTGCTGAAATATCTCAGCTCATCTGGTACGTTAATTTCCAGAAACTTCTACTGGTTGCACCCTGCGGGCGGCAGCTACACCCAACTAGGAGGGAAGTTCAGGTCTAACAAGTTTCCCATTACAGGTTCAGCTTGGTGTACTGTTACTGATGGGTCTTACATCCTCCACGTGCGAGTGGCTAACACAAATACCGAAGACGTGCCTAATATTGCATTTGGGCTCTACTTCACTGTGATTGACGCTGATTGTACAGCTTTGGATAAACGCATCTTGCCTGTAACTTACTCAGACAACTGGTTTTCCTTGGTCCCTAATGAAGCTCTCGATTTTGAAATCACCTTCAAGGTTCGCGAGAGCAACGTCCGTCCTAAACTGCTTCTCCGAGGTTGGAATGTTGAAGATACTGAGGTGGCTCTTGAAATTCATCAGTAACCATGGAATCATGTCTATTTGCATGTTCTCTGTAGTCGACACATTTCAATTTGACAGGAAGAACAAGGCAATACAGTCTATTTGTGGATTCACCCAGGGGTAATGCTACTCAACCTTGTCCTCTGCAGGACATTGAGGTATGAAATTATTCTCTAATCACTTGAAGGAGTTTGGGTTTTGTACTTAATGTGGTTACAAGTTTTGAGCACGAGCTCTTTTTAAAAGTCATTCCTGTGGTCTAAGTCAACGGAAATACAAAAGTGTTTCAAATTGTTGTTTTAAATGACTTTGTTTCTGTGACATACATAATCAACGACCTATGTTTGAACGTATAAATCTTGGGATGGTTTTCGAAAAATATATGTTGCACAATGTATTATAAGAAAAATAAAATTTCAGGTCGTTATCTTACGGTTTTTCTGTTTTATTTGATTAGAATCAATGGTCTTATCTTTTAAATAGTATTTGTATGAAACTTATAATGTACAAGTTGTTCAATTGTACTTATTGATACATAATTATTGATTCAAAAGATTTTCTCTTTTTCTTTTTCTTTTTGACACTTAATGCAACACACCCAATTTTTTGATGATTTGATTAAATGTTTTGATGAAAGAATATAGCTACTTGTGTCGTAACACCCTTAATTAAAGAAGGGTAGATGTGGGAGTAATAAAACAGAAATATAAACCGTGTTCAATTTTTAAGTCCTAAATTTATTGCATCTTCACAAGAATGTAGCTTTGTTAATAAATTGTTTTTTGATCAAATTACAAGCAATCTTCTATAAGACTATAATATAAATGAATATCTATGTTAAAATTAGTTAGATTCTTCACAAATTTGATTCTTTGTTATCACATTTTAAAAATACTAATAATTATAATAATAATAATAATAATAATAATAATAATAATAACAATAATAATGGAGTTTATTTTGGTCATTTTGGTGTTCTTTTTTGTAAGTCATTTATTGTAGTGCACCATAAAATATAACCTCATCCAGTATCTTCATAAAAAGTCACATGAACAAAATATTACATACTTAATTAAGTATTGTCGTGTCAAATTTGATTTGCTAAACAATGTTGACGAGTCTCACAATCTATTATAATTGGGAAGTACATGAATCAATTTTCTCATAAAAAGTTTTTATACATGTTACATAGCATCAAATAAAAGACTTGTTTTTGATAAATTAGTTTACAATTATTAAGACTGAAACATTGTTATAGAAAAGCTGCAAACAGAGTACGAGTTGACAGCTTTTACTCATTATAGGAATGCATCAGACAACAGCCCAATCATCAAGGGTCTGGTCCACAAGTATGATAGTTACAACGTGCACTCTGGGCCTAAAATCTGACATATCTGGTGCTTCGATTCGTTCCCAGATCAGAACAGCCCAGTAAAAGGCACGAGTCTCATTACCTCAAACAAGTTTCATTGCCGTGTATATTCAATCACTTAGAAAATAGGAAAATGAAAAGGACATTAACACAAACGGATGGAACCAGAAATGCCTTACCGTGACGTCGGTGAACTGGGCACTAGAGCAAGTGCCTTGCTCATCCCCTGTTCACAGAGGCAAGAGTACGCTGGATGGAGCCTCTTCGTCACAATTCGAGGCACACCAAGCGTGAGAGAGGTGGCCTCTGGAGCCTCCCTAGCAATTCTCAAGAGCCTGGGCACAAGCATGTGTGTGAAACCTTGCTTGATGCGCTCCCCTGCCAATGCAGTGTAGAACGTGCTCGAGTGGATGGGCACCAACACATCGCTGTGTGAGCAGATATAGAAGTCTATCGCCAGCTCAAACTGGGTCATGCCAGAGTACAGAAACTGGTTCTCTTCGTTGAACGGCATACTGTACTCCTGTCAAAATCAAGGATATGTGAGAACTTGGATTGCAAGCAAATCACAAGTGAATTGCTTTAAACATTCAGAAGATTGTCTTCTCTGAAAACGAGGGCACCATTCTGTTGAACTCAACGTCGTGATAGAAAAACAAAAAAGCAAACAATGATTCAGTTAAGTCGAGGTCAAACAGTTCAAAATATGCAACTCCAACATCTTCATCTTCCACAGGATTAAAACTAACTAACAAACACAAACAAAGAGAATATTCCCGCTTATGGTTTGTTGGGGGCTTATTAAATTTCTTATTAGCACACCTTGGTAATGACAATCGGATAGAGCTTGAGGAGAGGGTCGAATGACTCATCTAGTCGAGTTTGAGTCAAATAAATTGCAGTCTCACGGGCAAACCCATGTGACTGCAGCAACAGACCGAGGTCAAGAGGGGACAGGCAGCCCTTCGGCATTGTAAAAACGTTGTCAGTCCTTTGACCACAAGCCTTATCCGTAGATCTATAATCCACGGCAACGTATTTCCCACCAAGGCTCTGAGCTGCTTCCTTCATTCTGTTATTCAGACGATTGCCAAGCTTCTCTATCTGAGGCTGGAACTGCAAGGCTTTGTACTGGACCAAGCACCGAATGGCCTCAATCTCAGGATCTCGCTCGTCTTTCACGTCTTTCATGCTTAGCAAAAACTTGTTCAACACTATTACCGAGCTCTTCACAAATATGGGCCGAATCTTATTGTCGATTTCAGCCTTCGTGATTTTGTGAGGTAATTCTACGCTGGTGTGGTTGACGTTTCGGAGGTCCTCGGGTAACCGCCCCACTATCCTCACAACTCCCTCCAGAGTGGCGATGAAGTGCTTGACATTGTATATGTCATCAAATTTACTGTTCACGAAACAATACCATCCACTGTCAACGATTGAACTAATCTGCAAATTTTAGTTCCGAGATAACTGCAACGAAGATAAGAATTGAGAGCTGAAACACAGAGCAACATGGAGTAAACAATGTTATTCTAGGTACTTTGTTGGTTCAGATAGATGTTCTTTAGAGAAAGATTATAAACCAATACCTTATAAAGAAAAACGAGAAAAACTTCAAGAGAATTTCTTGCCTTATGAACTTCTACGAAGCAAGTAAACTTTGGTACTATAGCCATTGATTATCATCCTAGCGGTGATTCTTTGAAAGCTCAGGAACACAGGAAAAATAAGTTTATACCTGATTGGCTCAGTCAGGCCTTCTTTTATGGTAGGCATCACAAGGGTAGCTCCTAACTGACGAGCCACGATCACCGCATCCGCAATCTGCCAGATAATAAAACAGCAATCAACCCAGACCAGCCCATCAGTAATGGTAGAATATGTCCTTGACTAGTACGCAATTAAAAATATTGATATTCCCAACAGGAAGCAGTACTTCTTGATCCCACCTAATGAAGCAATGAATTCCAACTATCCAGAACTACGTAATTTTTGAAACTGAATCGAAATCTCGACGATCCAAAAACTGGGAGTTTACTCTAACTACATTGAGAAGCTGAAAGATTCATTGAGCGCGCACGGTCTATCCAAGAGTGATCTTGCAGTTCCAGGCATATTGCTATAAGTCTGTAAAATACTCATGATGCAGATAGTGCAATCGATGAGTAAAAGATACCTGGAACCGGTGTTGATGTGGCCCATGAGAGCAAGTGACCAAGACGTAACCCCATTCTTTTCGAGCATTCCCTGATGACATGGGAAACACACTAGTCCTCAATAGGTTTTTGTAGACAGCTTTTCTAGATCATTAATGAAGTAGCAGTCATCTTAAGGAATCGCAGACCCGAAGAACTATTTCCGAGTTTTGATACTTCCAATACGCAAACAAGGAGACTGGTCTAGGTTGGTGAAGCGACACAATTAGCGTATAAAATAGCGAATCATGTTTAAAATCCTACTTTACGTGGATGTCAAGAGGAAGGGATTTTTAGTTTGAGTGAGAAAGAGGGGAAAAAAAAAAAAAAAAAAAAAAAAAAAAAAAAAAAAAACTGCAACTGAATACTGTAACTCACTGGAAGCAATAACCATATTTGGCCCGTCACTCACTTCTAGAGGGTTTAGTCCAACATGGTTCAAGTGGCTGAGACGGAACTCCCCATTACTTCAGTTGGAGATCTTTAAACAATCGAGCCTGCAATATTATAACATTACACAGGAAACTTACCAATTGGTATGTCCTAATGATCCCTTCGCATATTCTCATCTAGTGTATAAACCACATAAAGTAAGTCAGCTACCACAAAGCTGATAAGAATCTTCACTTCTTGACAACAAGCAGAATCATCTTCAGCTTCTCTATAGGATTCTTATTATTTATTATCACTTAATCAGATTGCAACTATAAGCAGCGCAGTCATGCATAAAATGATACAATAATCAAATCAAATTCAATCGTTCATGGAGATTCACTATTTGGGACAAAAGCTGGAGGACATGTAAAAAACCACCTGTCCAGCCCCAGTGCGTATTCGAAGGGGAAGATTGCTAAGAATATTGTAAGATAAAACCAGGAACACCAAGCCCAGAAAGCCAATCGTCCCTTTCCGTACTCCCCACATTCTGACCACTGATTTTCCACCTTCGGTGTCGCCTGCTTCTCTATACACCAACCCACCCTAGAGTCTGCCCAAAATGAATTTCATCACTCCACCATCTTCTTCTTCTTCTTCTTCTTCTTCTTCAGCAAATGGATTTAATTCCAGTGGGAAGACAAGGAAAAGGAACGCTTAAACAAACTTAAAGCACTGGTCACTACATCGTCAAGTAAGAAATTTCCTCACTCTCATCAAAACCATTCCAACATCACAGCTGTACACCACAAACATTACACAGCGGGAGCACTCAACAAGAAAAACGAGGCTGCCCCCAGCTAACTTCAAGGCGCGGCACAAGCATCGCAAACGGGAAGATGGGCTCTCCACAACAGAGTTGCGCGAAACTAAAACTGGAGTAGGGTTCTGAGGAACGATGGGCACGAGTTGTACCGGGTGTGGCCTGCGCCAGAAGTCCAGGAACCGAGACCTCACTTGCACAGCCTACCGAATCTAGGTCCTATCAGCGTCGGGAGCTTGCAACGCCCACCGTAACACTCTGCGGAGTGAAACAGCGCATGGCCATGTCTAGAAAGAGCTACTGAACACGTAGAAGACAACAAGCACAGGCTTCATCTCCTCTCCTTCATGACCTCGATCAAAGAAAAGGTAGTCTAACCACATAGAGGGCTAGATTCTTGAAGCTTCAAGCAGTACCCATCGTCTTAGCATCTTCTTCCTCCTCCTCGTTCACTGTCCACCTTTGCCCATTCAATTGTGAGAGTTCCAAGTATTGCCACTGAATCTGACGTTCACTTGTAACTCTGCTCGTGATTTTCCTTCGCTGATTGCGTAATCTCATGGTTCGAAGACAAGAAAACGATAGAACAGCTCCACCAGGGTGGCTGTGGTCATGGCTGTAGCCAGACTGCATGAATGAGTGGAATCATGGGACCAGGATTAAATGGTAGTTCTACGTTAAAATTTGAAACACTTTACTGTACTCGTTATTTCATTTGATGCGCTAAAAATAGCTCGTGTACAAATTGAAATAAGATAAATATTAATTACCATCAGTTGAAATATTATAAATGTGATAAGAGCATAATTTTTTAAGACATTTTCATATTAAATTCCAAACAGTTCCATTGTGTATTTTAATGAACATACATAACATTAAAACTAAGAATATGATCATTATAAACAAATTGGTAGAGAGATGTACTATACATAGTGTAAAATAGACAATAACAAGACACAAGAGCAAGAGACTGATTTGAATGCTGGGTCGTTTGAGTGAACCATGAACACGATGAACATGATGAACAAAGATGTATAAAAAACTGCACAAAGACGACCTGGATGCGAATAATCAGTTCCATGCTGTTAGAGACCGTGTTGTCATCCTTGCTCAGTGACGTAGTTGTACAAAAATCTATTAACAAACTGATATAATGTCATAGGATTAAGCGTATGAAATCCTGACAAAGTCTGTGGAAGCAGATCGCTGGAACCCACCTAAAATTTCGCTAATCAGCAGGTCTCGGCAAACTAAGTGTAAGTTAATTCCCTCTGGAGACTCCAAAGATAAAAAGAAGATGGCTGCATCAAACAAAAGCAGTGGAATCGGAACACAAACAAACATCGTTCCACACCATCAGGCTTTCTGAATATCCCATACAAAGCGGGCATTCCAATACCTGACTCGACACATTGAGGTACGTCACAGCAACAAAGAATCCTTGGGAATTGAAGGGATGATGTACTATTTTTATTTTTAAAATTTTCTCCTTCGATATACACTAATTACAATTCTAGCGCCATTATGTATTCAAGCATCAGTGCATCTAGCTCTTCTACTCTACTATGGGGGACCGTAGTATCAAAAGTAAGAATATCTCACCATTACCTTGGCGATGTACTAACTGAGAGATTTGAACAGAGTGCTCTTCTAAGATTTGCAGTCAAACAATCTATGTCTATCCATCCTCTGCTGTACCAGAGGGTTCTTCTTCATCGCCAGTACCTTAATTCACCGTATAACATACGCACATCCAATAAAAACTTGCCTCACATGAAGAATTCATAATGGGACCAGACCTTGTTGCCAACCAACAAAATTGGGGCTAAGACATGATGCTGCAGTTCCCACATTCAGCCTTGACAGATTCAAAGCCGCCACAAAACTTGGGGGTTGATAGTGCTGGGCTTCAACCGTGTTTCTTCGACAAAGCTGGGTTCAGGACCATGAAGTGATAGGCAGCGACCCTGAGAAAGATGAATGGCGCTGAGTAAGGTCGAATCCCCAAAGCTCCACGTGCTTGAGAACAAACTCTTCATTGTTTGCTAGGCATGAGCACCCATAGGTTTCACACTCACCGCTTGAACCATGAAGAAGCTCTGCGTCCAAATAGAGCGCAAAATGGCTCCCACCTCCAAGTGCCAGGGCATCTGATGTTGCTAACACATAGTATCTATTCACACCTGTAGGATGGAAGATTTTCGAGGCTCCTGTGACATTGCTAAACACAAATGAGTCACTTGTTCCTTGGTATTTCTTCCTCGGCGATGGTTCTAATGGAGCTGTAATCAGGCCACCGAACACAGCGCCACTCTTGTCTCCAGCAACGAGTAAGACCGGCCCTGATGTCATCTTGCTATTCCGGTAAAGCGTAAGGAGTGACATTCCATGCTTCTCGGTACTGTACAATAGCACCCAGCGTCGGCCTTTAGCAAGCGTTGGCAAAGCAGGCTGGATGCTGCAGCGTAGATCGGCGGAAAGGAGGCACGAATGGTCAGACATCCTGGGCAAGCGGTCAGGGGCAATACTAGGCAGCTGCTTCTTCTGGGTCCGAGGGGGGGGGACACTCACCGGATCGCTCACCTTCACATGATCATCTACAAGAAGCCAATCCACATCATAAAATTCGCCACTCTGCGCATTTGCATCGTCCTCCATTCCCTCAGACGATTGATGTCTAAGCCGTGAACGCGGCGACGAACTTCCACGGCCATTTTTGTCAGATGATAAAAGATTAATCAGAAACGCAGACAAGGAAGAGGTGTCGGGCCCTTCAGGATCGGGCGAACCCTTAGAACTATCCTCATTGCCAGACGCATCCTGCTTCCCTCCGATCCGCACACCACCGCCAGCATCTGAGACGTAGCTCCCCAAGTTGGGCGCGGAGTTTTTCCTTGACAACTGCGATTCCAACCTCCTGCTCGGCAGGAACCGCCCCAATTTTTCCCCCACCGAGTCCGCCCATTCCCCCGGTTTCGACAACAACGCCTTCCTCATCGTGCCGCCCACACCAGACTCTCAAATCATTGCCCCCAAACCCTAAATTCGCTCAATCCGAAATCTCCCACCTCCCTCCTCTCCAACTCCAACACTACCCCCTGCAACATTTCAAATCGTCTCCGATCAAGCCCTCATTGCACGCATCGAATCACGCATCCTTTCACCCCCGCTATACCCTGCTCACCTCAAACCCGAGCTTCTAAACCACGCGTGACCTCCCCGGGCGAGGTTTTCGAAACCGCTGCTTCCATGCACTCCTCCATCTCCCACAAACAAAGCCTCTCCAACCTCCCCAGCTGCAAGATCCGAGGCAAAAGGCGACTTGCGAATGCCGTTGTCAGTGCGAGTAAATTCGAAGTCAGGAGACGAGTTTCGAAAGACTTCGGGTCCTCCGGCACCCCACCCCCTCAAAAAGAACGCCAAACCGGGGTGCTGACTGGACTTGTGTTTTGGATGGCGGGTGGGACACTTCCGTGACGTGGCGGTTTCTGGGACGGCATCGACATGTCCACCTGGTATGCTGAGCTGGAGGAGGTAACGTGCGGTGCGTAACTTTCTACACCTCCATCGGGGCTGGAGTCCTCGTGTGTAGGGCTTCTTGCCGTATTATTGGGTGCCACTGTTGGATGAGATACATCAATATGGATGATATTATTGTTCATTCATCCACAACGACATACGCCTACGTGGATCACCGTTCGCACATTGTTACTTAACACGTTCCCGTGGAATGGGAACACGATGGAGGTCACCACTCATAGAGTAACTGTTTACGCAGGTTATAAAAAGCATTAGGGCAATGCATAACGCATGTTCCATCTACAAACAGAGGTTCTGAAAATAATTTGCTGAACATACATTAATAGATGTATTATTTTGGAATAAGCATACAAGTAGAATGATAACAATACCATCCAATCACACAATGTGAACTGAAATTGGTAGCTATATGTTATTTATAGAACATTTGCAGATCCAAATGGAGCTCTAATTATGAAAGGATTCAGAACTCGTGGTAGACTCAATTTCTTTTTATACATCATAGATCTTCAGAAATGTTGACGATGGATAGTTTGACTTTGTATGTCTTATCTTAAAGAGTTAGTTTTGCACTTGAATTAATAAATAATAGAGGGATAATGATAAAAAAAAATTGGGGTAATGTCTGTGTGCTAGTGTTAATACATGGAAATGAGGTATCCAACCTGTTTTAATGTGATCTTTTATAGAAGAAAATTGTATGAACAACACTTAGTGTAACTCCGCCTTTAACGGTTGTTTTCACACAGTGGCATTACCACTGAGCGAATGGCTACTAAAAACAATAACAAATACTGGAAGTTCATTACATTTGTATTGATATTGCTATCCCTCAATTTCATTTCATTTGATTTATTGTAATTTTCTTGTGATTTTCAATGAAAATACAAACAGGTTTGTATAAATGTTGCATAAAAAACTGGATTCAGAGTGTAAGCAACGTCCAAGTTATTAAATATTTCTTCAGTTGCTATATTTATTGCAAATATAGTTTCAACATCCTAACACGTAAGAATATAAAACATAATTAACAAAAAGACTCCAGGCTTGAGAGAGACATGATGCCAGAAAAACTAAATGAATTTTGCCTTCAGTGAATATCCTTAAATAGAAGTGAATAGAGAAGAAGAAAGGAATAAAATGGGTCAAAAAGTGGATTTTAGAGAATTTTATGTCAAAAGATACTCTAAAGAAAACTTGTTGTCGATAAGAGAAAATAGAATACAATCCTCCAAAAATATATGTGCTTGAATGTATGTATATATGTATTATTGTTTTGTTAGAAGCAATAAGTGCCAAACCCCATCAAAAAGCATCTGCACTATGTCGCCTGCACATTGGCAGCTTTTAGATCCTCAACTTTAGGAAAAATTTAGGATCTAAAAGAGAAGCGTCCTTGTAAGTCCAAGTCAGCAAAAAAAGACTGAACTATATTCGTTCTCTCCCCCCCTCTCGCTCTATATATATGTATGTTTAAATACAAAATAAAACAAAATGAAATAAAAATCAACCAACCAACCGAACCCATTCTCTTTCCCTAACACCCATTATTGAAGTCGGTGCAACGTTAGATCTTTACTACCAAACTGGCAAATTTATGTGAACTCCTGAATCAAACCTACTTCGCAAGCTCAAAATACTGGCGAGAATTTGCACGCTCAAAGCACATCACCTAATGAGGGTGATAAACAATCAGAGCTTTCTGATGTAGGCATTAGTACTAACCCCCAAACATGGCGAGTCAGAGTTGAATGACGGCATGTGTAAGACCTGAAAGGCGAGGACCTTGGCTAATGATGTGCAGTACAGTCGATTCAAAATTAGAAGTAAACCAGCACGTCAGAACCGCAAATAAATTCACTTACTGAACCATCTTCAACCAGTTCTGATTAATTTGTAATGCCCACTTATCCAGTAGTGTACTTCAAGTGACAGCTGAAAAACAGAGCTTGCAATCCTGAGAGCAAAAGAAGGCCACATCCACTTGAGACTTCATTCACGAGAACGACACAACTTCAGAGAATGGGCCGAGAAATCGCTTTACAATTTCAGTCAAGAATTGTTCGCTTGAATGAATAGCCTTCCATTCCCAGATGTTTCTTCGCTCGTAACAATTGGAGACGAGCGAATTTCTAATCAAAAGGGTATGCCAACCTAGTGGCTATCCCATATGTAGTAGTCTACAGCTAATCAAAAGCTAGCCAGAGAATTATTATTAATAATAATAGCAGCTTTGAAACTAGATTACTATATGTTTATCACTGCTGCATAATTTCACAACTACCAGTATCTAGGTAGAAAACAATACATTGAATTGTCCATATAACAAATTTTCTGTGAACATCAGTCCTAGAACACCCGTAAAAATAACCTACAAGGAAGAGTAAAATAACTGCTGGTGATTATGCTTATCGATAAAGACAAAACAGATTATGCGACGCAGTTAACCTAATTTTCTGGATCTGAGCCCTAACTACAGTGGTGGACTATCCTGCAATCTATTTACAACGATAAAAACAACCAAAAAAGTAAAGGGTGCATCAAAAGTGGAGAACTTGGACGCCAACACGTGTTTATGAAGCCTTTCAGGATCGACTGCTTCCAAGTTGAATTATTTGCAGAGAATTGCAGCGCACCCTAAAAATAAAAATAAAAACAAAAATAATAAAATAATAAAAAAAAATAATACATTCCCAAGATGGTACCTGTCAAATCCTGCCCTGATATTAGCTCAAGTGCTCTCTTTATTGCACTTGCTCCCCTGAGTATCCTACGTTTCCACTCAGACTCCGACGATGGCCTCTATTGACCTCCCCAGTTGAAGGAATAGCATTAGAAAACAGCTTGCAACCAAAAGCGTTTGAGAGCGAATTCACCGGCTTCTTCGCTCTGTGAAGATTCTCAATCTCCTGTCTCATGGTCCCACATTCCATCTCCAACTGACTGACGCGAGCCAGTATCTTGCTCATGTCATCTTTCAGCGTCTTACTACCCCCCAAAGATTTCTCCCAACTCTCCCCTTGCCTGACCACTCCTGGCGGTATATGATGCTGCTCTTGCTGTTTCCCAGAACCCCCAACGGTGTCTGCAACCAAAAAGGACCCAGCTATGGCATTCCGCAGCTGCAGCTGCTCAAAGAAAAGAACCTGTACAACCACCCGCAACGGCAGCCTCTCATTCTGCGCAGCGTGCGTGCACGCTTCCAGGGAAAGCTTCTGACAGTTCATGATCTTGCACACCATCTCTCGCTCCAATTCTGATAGCCAAGAATGAGCCTTCAAATAAACGTCAATCGCCCTGTATAAGCCATCATCTGAAGGTCTGGAATAATCAGGCAATGCTTCAGCCAATGCTTGGAACTTCGAAGGTTTTAAATTGACGTCTGGCGCAATTTCAGCGAGATAAGCATCCACGAGCTTCGCAACCATCATAATGGGACACAACGACGGAGATCCCAGGAGAAGTCCCTCTTCGTCCGATTCGGGTGAACCATTCTGCTCCAGCATCAAGTAATGGTCCAAAATCCGTTGCACCAAATCGATGTCGTAAAGCGTCTCCTCCACGTGGGAGTAATTCGGCACTAAGAGCTCGTCCAAGGTGGCCTGTTCTAGCTGCATGCCTATCCTCTTCTCCAGATTACTCTTACATTGCGGGCTAGCATTCAAAATTATAGCTAATCGCAGTAATCCAAACAGAAACCGAGCGGAGCTTCCAACTTTCAAGGGAGGGAGGAGGGACTCAATTGTTTCGAGTAAGATTCGTTGATCGTGCTCCTGAACGATGGGATTAGAGGATACAAGCGCCTTGCGGTGGCTGTGAGCGGCTTCGCGTCCGCTGTGGCGTCTGTGAAGGCCCGGCAAGGCTTTCTTTGCATAATGAACTACTGCACCCCATATATTCTCGCCTCTGACGCCAGCGGCTTTCATTCCAAGCACAACTTTCTCAAAAAATGGTAAACTTAAGGTTGAGATGTCTTCGTACCACCAATTGTCAGAAACTTCGAGAATCCTAGCCCTAGCTCCCGTACTGATACCGTTCCACAGCAAGCTCCCGCCAGGGGATTGCAAGGAACGGTGATCCTGCATTAGCCACCCTCCTCTTGAGGAATCATTCACATTTGCTTTGGCACATACCGAATCAATCAACCTGTCCACGAGACCAAGTTCCTCGGTCATGGGAAAGAGATTTGAGCAGCTTTGCAAAGCAGCGATGGAGTCCGACAAGCTTCGGAGCACGACCTCTTGAAGAAACGCCTCCGACCTTACAATCAAATTCTCGTTCGCAAGATCTTCAGTCATTTCTAGATATTCAGCAGCGCAACGTAGCGCAACGATGTTGCTAGAAGTGAATTCTATTTTCACTCCATAGCAAAACTTGGCGGCGAGCTCAAAGGACCATGTCCCTCCAGGGAAATTCTCTAGGCGGATTTCGCATGTGTCCTCGTCCTCCCTGCTGACTTCCTCCACAAGGCGGGCGATGCGCCGGCAACGAGACACGAGAGGAAACTTGTGCAGGTGGAAGGTCATCTGTTCGACATCCACAACAATGTCGCTTTGAAGCCCCGAAGTGCACAACCAAGCTTGTCCCCTTCTTTGGGATGTCCCATCCTGCGAAGTCTCCGATTTTGCACCACTAGATGCCATCCCTGCTTCAATCCTCACTGTCTTAAATCAAAGGGGCAAAACCTAAACACAAACACGCGCACATCCGAAAATTGGGATACCAGCGATGACGAAGTGGAGAATCACGATTTCTCCACCCCTATTACTCCACATCCACTACAAAACTTATTTTCCTCCCCAAGACGACGCCTCGCCGACGTGTTTACATTCTAGTCCTGCCCCGGCCGCAGAAATAGGACACCCGCTGCACAAACTAGACCAAAGCGTGTGTGCATAATCATCTAACGGAAGCTCCTGTTAGAAGATCCCCCGTCCCTACACTGATCGCTAAAAAAGCACAATGCACAGCCACGGACGTCGAACGAATCTATGCGCGGCCATGACTTGATCTGCAACTTCAATCACCTGCCAAGCAGAGAGGAGCAACCAGTAAGTACGCGACCAAAGAAAAAGCAAGCTTAACCACGCGCGCGCGAAAACACACACGCACAGACCTAACACTCTACACCACAAAACTTACGGGCTCCCACGGAAGATTGCCCTACACATTCACAAATAACTCACCCGAACGCAACCCCCACAAACATCTAAAACCAGCCAAAGCTGCGCGTGGAAAGCTCGAGGAGAACCTCTCACCCGGTCAGACCAAGAGCTCTCCACCTTCACAGCCTCCTCCATTCTACCGCCACCCGCAACGATTCCCATCATCGCCCACGAGCCTCCGGCACCCCAAGCAACTACATTTGGTCCGCCAGCTTTCCTCCCCGCCTCTGGTCTCCCCCTGCAAACCATCGCCACCGCCATCAGCACCCACTCGGAGCTTCACACAACTACTCACTCATACAAATCAATCGTTCCCTGCTCAAGATCCCGACTCCGAACATCGCTACGCGGGACCAGCTCCCAATCGACCAATTACCAACCTCTGAATTCCCGGACACACACCTCGACAGCAAGGGATGATGCAACTCCAGAGACTTCACACAACAGCCCTACAACATTCTCTTCGTCCTTTCCTGGACTCCCTTTCCACAGCAGTAGCCATAGCCAGAATGAGAATGTACATCCACGAAGCAACAGCAAGACACTCACCCTCTAGCCACGCTATTCAAAGCGGTTCAACCCTAGCGCCATGTCCCGACACCGCAGCAGCAATCATTCGCCGGAGCTGGAGCTGAAGCTGAAGCTGCATCGACGAAGAACCCAGCTTCGTGCGGCAGGCGCCTTCCACCTGGGAATTCGACAAACTGCTATGCATTATTTTCCGTGTGGATCGAGCGGAGGCGAGACAAGGCTCCAGCCTCCACCCCACCCCGATCGTCAAACGTGCGCCGCGGCAGCTATGGCGGGTGCGGAGCCTAGCCTGCTCCAGGGAAGGCTGTGCACGAGGCTCACCGGGAGCTGCAGGGGGCCTAACAACAATTACACTAATCAAAATTAAGCCAATTCCGGACGCGGGCTAATATTGGATTAGGAGTTGGTGCGTGCCTTGCTAGGATTTGGGTTCCTCAATGCGATGCATGATTGTCTCGATTCGATAATAGCCCTGTTCACACAGGTGTCCCTCGTCAGGGTGCCACGTTTCGGCATTCATCCAGTCTGTTTCCAGGGCCTTTAGCTTCATTCGTTGCAACATGTGGAATTACCCCGCAATTTTCTCAGCTTCAAATCTACTATGTTTCATGTTAAGAGAAGGTTTATAATTTTGTTGGAATCTATTGGTAAAGGGGGTAATATAGTTTTTTTTTACTATCACATGATAAATATTTGTGACGTCACTAACTTTTAGTAATAAGACAAAAGCCACTGATTATCTTCTACAGAATTCAATGGATGGTTGAATAATAGATGACTGGAATATGAAGGGCATGCTGTGTATAAATGAAAGATGTGTGAATTATGCATAAAAGGGATGGTGGATGATATTTGAATTGACATGATGACAGATGACACATGGATGAATAGTGATGAAGGATGATACATGGATGAATAGTGGTGGAGGATGATACATGGATGAATAGTGGTGAAGGATGATACATGGATGAATAGTGGTGGAGGATGATACATGGATGAATAGTGGTGGAGGATGATATATGGATGAATAGTGGTAGAGGATGATACATGGATGAATAGTGGTAGAGGATGATATATGGATGAATAGTGGTGGAGGGTGATACATGGATGAATAGTGGTATAGGATGATACATGGATGCATAGTGGTGGAGGATGATACATGGATGAATAGTGGTGGAGGATGATACATGGATGAATAGTGGTGGAGGATGATACATGGATGAATAGTGGTAGAGGATGATACATGGATGAATAGTGGTATAGGATGATACATGGATGAATAGTGGTGGAGGATGATACATGGATGAATAGTGGTGGAGGATGATACATGGATGAATAGTGGTGGAGGATGATACATGGATGAATAGTGGTGGAGGATGATACATGGATGAATAGTGGTGGAGGATGATACATGGATGAATAGTGGTGGAGGATGATACATGGATGAATAGTGGTGGAGGATGATACATGGATGAATAGTGGTGGAGGATGATACATGGATGAATAGTGGTGGAGGATGATACATGGATGAATAGTGGTGGAGGATGATACATGGATGGGTGGATAATAGTGAAGGATGATATGTGGATATATGCCATTGATAATACTTGGATAGATGATTGTGGAGGATGATATTTGGATGAATGGTGGTGAAGGATGATACATGAATGGATTGTGGTAAAAGATTATATATATATATATATAAATATATATGGATGATGGTGAATGATGATATATGGATGGATAAAAGAGAAGGATGATATATGTGATAGATTAATTATGGATTCAAAGATAATTATTAAATGGACTTTTTATATATATATATATATATATATATATATATATATATTTTGTCTACATTAAAGAACTATAGAAGAAAATATCAATTGCTAAACTTCTTCAATTTCTTCAATTTCTATACAAATTTATCAACCTTTGATACTACACATTATGTTGTTCAATATTGCCTATTATTTAAAGAATTAAAATCTATGGGACGTATAAAAATAATATTAAGTGTAAAAGAGAAAATTAAGAAATTTCAAACAACTACTTATTTAAAATTTTAATAGATAAAAACAGAAAATAATATTATAATAAATATTCTAGAAAAAAATATAGGTAAAAACTTAGCATTGAGGAAAAAAAGATTAAAACAACAAATTCATAAAATTTAATTGCAACTAAAACATCCACATGTTAAAATAGTAGAACACAAAATTAGTTGACTGTGACTAGAAAAAATTGCAATATATAATTTATTAACCTATGCATGTATTAAAATGGTGGTTTTTTTTATAAAGCTAATTAAGTATAATACTATTATAAAAGAATATATGAATGTAATGAACTTTACATCAAGTAATTTTTAAGTATGTCGTTTTAATAAGATAGATGTAAAAAATTTTAGATTTTATAGCACTTTTAGCTGTAATATAAACTAATATTATGATTTTTTTAAAATATCTCTAAAAATGGTCTTTTTTGTAACAACATATTCCTATATTTTCAGCAAAATGACAAAAGAAGATTTTACAACATAAATTTAGATTATGTTAAAATGTAGTTACTAAATTGTGAATTTTGTATACATATACATATCAACATTTTTTTAGAATGATTTTTTGTACCAACCTAGTATATGCACTATTGGTAATTAATTTATAACTAAATACTTTAAGTTACATCATGTTTTGCATTTATACCAAACAGACATAAAAAAAAGTTAATTATAGAAAGTGATTTTTACTATACATAATTTTATAATAATAATATATTTTTTTTACTTAATATACATTACCATAATTATTGGTATTCACATTATTGTTACTTATATCTAAAAAAAAAAATTAAATATTGATGTTAACATTTGTAACATTAACATTATTTAGTTAAATTATTTTTTAAAATACATAAGAAAAATAGGATTAATATATATATATATATATATTTATATATATATATATATAAACTTTGATACTTTGAACATGAGATGAAAAAATAAAATCAAATGCATTTGTATTTCTACATGTCCTAAACAATGTTACATCTTAAATTTTGTAATAAGTTTACTTCAAAGAGGTGGTTACTACAAAAAAAAATTAAATCCTTTTTAATGTTTTATACAAAACTTTAGAAGAGAGATTGACTTTCTACAAAACCTTAAATATCCTTATTGACAAATTTTACAAAACTGTACAAGTAATTGACTTTCTATTTGAAAATTTTATTCAAAAATTCATTCTTTGATCTACTTTCTGTGTATGATTTTCTTTAAATTACAAGATTTAATCACAAATCTATTTTCTAGGTCTAACTCTCTACAAACTACAAGGTTTAGTTACAAACCCATTCTCTAGGTCTAATTCTCTTCAAACTACAAGGTTTGATTACAAATTTATTCTCTTTGACAAACACCCCCTCAAACCACTAGATGCTAAAGAATGACTAGCTAAACTTGTGCCATTGTTATGGAAAATATTCCTTAAAAACTTAATATCAGAGATGGATGCAATGATCTTTGTGAAAAAAAATCTAGACCTAATGAATTCAACATCCACAAATCTAAAAGAATAATAAAAACAGATAAAAAACCTCTCTAGCCATTTTGGCACAATCATAAGTTGCAAATATTTTTAACAATATATTTGATTGTAGAAGACATGTGTTGCTATTGATGTTCTTGTAGTCTCTAAATATCTGTCATACAATCTACAACTTCTTTGGAAATGGATGTTACTTGATTTTTAAAAAAAAAAACATAATTCTCTATAATCCACTTGCAAAGAAAGAATTCCAATTATCCTAGCCAACCACCATAGCCCCTCTCCACATCCAAAACCAAACACTTGAAACTTTCCAATTCCATACTCATCCTCTCTTTGATTGTCTTAAACAAAGAATACTAATGCGATGTTAAAAAGAAGTAAGAACTAAGAAGAAATGATGCTAACCCTTGAAGAGCAACACACCTCATAAACATCAAAACACCAAAACACCTTTTTTTGATATAGAATTAAATCATGTAGTATTAAGGCCTTGTGAATTTGTAAATGTGGTTCTATTAAGGCCATGTGAATTTGTAAATGTGGTTCTATTAAGGCCATGTGAATTGTTGGATGACTCAACATTTGCTTCACTTTTTATTGAAAGCAATGAGAGATGCAGCCAATCAAAGATCAAATTTATCTCTTTTGGTTTGTCCCATTAGTTTATACTCTTGATGTGTTTTATATAAGAGATAATATCCCATTGGTTTTTACCCTTGATGTGGTTTATATAAGAGATGAGTATGGATGCATCCATCTATGTGAAAAGGAAGAAATAAGGGTTAGGTGAAGACCAAGTGAATGACCGAGCATCCTCCTCCCTCCCCACCCCAAAAGCTTTGCACCTCGGCGGCGCCGCAGCTCGAAATTCTAGCTCGAAATTCTAGCTCGAAATTCCACATCCCTGGCGAAGAAACTGCGTCCATCAGTTGCTTCGTGTGGACGGAATTGAAAGTGGGCAGGCAGGAAGCGAAGGCGCCGAGAAAAAGGTTTGGAAGAGGAAGAACACGGAGGAGGAGGAACGGGTGCACGCACCAAGCTCCACGCTCTCTCGCTCGCACGCACGCACGCCGGGGAAGGAGGGAGGGAGGGATGGAGGGGTGGGCGTTGTTGCCACCCCAGCCCTCCGTTGGCTCATGGCTGTCCCGCCCTGCTGCTGCTTGTGTGGTGGAGACGGCTTCGCCCGCATGCCTTCCTCACTCTCCTGCTGCCCTTCTCCCTTTTCTACATCCATCACCCCGCATGTCTATCTGCGTGTACTTGCCGTGAAGCTCAAGTTAGTTGGTCCGCTGAAGCGTCCGCCGGCGTTCTTAAGCTTTGGTTGGTGACAGTGGTCATTGTAGTTATTGTCGTCGTCGTCACGGTGTTCGTAGGAGATTGTTTGGCTGGTGTCTTTGTTTTCTGAAGCTTGGGGAACGGCAACCCGCGGGTTCTGTATTGACAGGGACGGATGGCAACCGCGAGGTCAACCGGGTCTCCGATGTCCTCCGCGGAGCTGGTTAGATTGAATTGGTCCTCTTCGTCGATCAATGGAAATGGCGCGGATAGGTTCCTACATACTTCGAATTTTACGAGATCGAGCGTGAGTTGCCCCCGTGTTGCACAGCCCAGGGCGATGGGCAACAAAAACGAAGGCAAAGGGATTTTTGCACCGCTTGTTGTGGTGACGAGGAACGTCATGGGGAAAAAAGAGTTTAACCAGCTTCGTGGCAAGGCCATTGCGTTGCATTCGCAGGTGCGTCGGACTTGTTCTTGTTCTTGTTCTTCAAACGGCAATGGTTTATGGAATGAGTTTGAGGGAAGGTTATCACTGTATGTATTTCTGGGCTTATTACCTTCTGGTGATAGTTCTCCCTTTGAACCAGACCATCATATCCGCCGTGCATGTCATTATGGGGAAAACGCGGGAGAAATTGTAATGGAATAGATAATGCGTGTATGTTTCTCAAGGGTTTGGCCTATACCTTGCAGGTTATCGGAGAGTTCTGTAAGACTATCGGTGCTGACAGCAAGCAGAAGCAAGGATTGATCAGACTTGCGAAGAAGAATGGGGAAAAACTGGGCTTTCTTGCGTAATCTTGCAGCGTGGAGACTCCACAATCTCTCATTAGGATTAAGAGTAGAATCAGATGAAATTTTTAGAGGCTGCTTTAATTGGCAGTGCATGTATCACCAACTCATTGTATTTCCTTCTTTTCGCGGAGGGTGGGTCTGTCTTGTGATCAAGGCTCTCATGTAGTAGCACCATGCTACGCACTGCCGATTCGCATCAAATCCTGGTAGGGAGATTGTCCGACTGATTATACGATACCTGAAACAAGCTATGTTTTCCATCTTCGGAGGGGAGGGTTAGTCATGTACTCTTAGATTGTTTACGCAGCTTATGTCCAATTTTTGCCCAACGGCGCGAGCAAGAGCTCCCATTCCATAAACCATTTCAGTGATTATCAATACTTATTCAAAACTTTCCGGAAATGTCCACACTGCTTACTATTCAAGCTCTCACGTCACACACTCAATGCTGGTTCTGAGGTCATGCCTGCCAATGTCAAAGCTATCAAAATTGACTTGTTCATATTATATGGTCAATTCCGCTACACTGGTCTGTACTGTGAATGATATGCACGTCTGAATAGTGAATGCCAAGCTCACGATTAGTACACTAGTCATTTAAAATGTGTACAAATCTTCCATGCTCATTTTCGGAGGTGTAGAGGAAGACTGCAACGGCAGATGAGAAGCTGTAAGTGAGATACCGAAGACGACAGATGGCACAGTAAAACTTGCAAACTTCTCATCCCTGCCGAATGATTCATTTGCTGCATTGTGACCGGCCAATGACATTCCACAAGTCGCTGTGAACTCGCCGGGACTGTGTATGAAACATGGACCGACGAGCTTCAATTGACGAGAATCCTGCTAGAAATGAAGCGAAGTTGGCTACTGATTGATAAGAAATATGCGGGTTCCACTGAAGACGAAAAAACCTACATGGATTGTTAACAGAGTTCCATTCTTTGATAGTCTTTTTTCTCTCGAAGATTGCACAGCTTCTTTTCTGAATAATCACCTGGATTTGATAGATTGCCTCGTCATACTGATTTATTAACTGATGACTGTGCACTGAAGCTTCTTGTGCGTCACACAAGTGTCTCATGTTTCTTTGGCTTTTGGTTTGTTTCTTCCATCTGTTTTAAATTCTGAGCAATTGGATTCATACTGAAAACACTTTCTTTGAGCTTAACCATAATCTACCTACTCTTACAATTAAATAAATAATTAAATGTTATTCTTGACACACGCTAACTAAGCATGTATGTTTATCTATCTATCTATCTATCTATCTATCTATCTAAACATATTTAAGTTAAAAGATTCTATTTGCCATTCTCGCACATGGTCATTAACCAAAAATGGTCACTCTTCTAAAGGCAGAACCCAATCGCCAAAGGTTCCCCTGCTGCCACTTGGCACGAATATTTGCTTCCCAGATGGCAGTGACCGCTTTGGAACACCGAGAACGAGAAGGGGAACGAGAGCGCACCATCGCCATTGGGAACGTGATGGAAGCTCAGTCGCGGCACAGACCTCCTCGGCGGCGATAATCCGTCCCCAAGTTCATTTGAAGTTCACGAGAGGCTTCATTTTGATGGTTTCCGATCGGTTTTAGTGCACGATTCCGACACTTCTCGGTCGCGGTGCATGCGAACTACGCTCATCGATTTTTATTTGTTTTATTCTTTTCTGAAGCGGTTGCAGAATTTTGGGGAATGTTTCCACTCTGGCACGGGATTTCGTTTCACAGTCTTCAGCAGCGGGTGTCACATGGTTACGTGAAACTTTAGACACAGGGAGTTCGTCGAGAAACTGTATCTCAAAATTAGCTGGCTTCAATTGAGCACCTCGGATATTCGAGTTCGCGTTCTCGGGTTTTTTGTTTTTTGATTTTTTTTGTTTTGTTTTGTTTTGTTTTTTGTTTTTTGTTTTTTTTTTTGTTTTTTTTGTTTTTTAAAAATTTTCCGTTTTCGGGAGATATGAATTGTCTACAAGCATTTTCCAGTTTTCGTCTTCCGCAGCCATGTTCGCGAGCACTTGCTCGAATTCGAGCTCCCCAGCCGTTTAGGACGCTGGTGCTCGTGCACGGGACACAAACTAGCATACAAGTGAAATTGACGAAGTGTAGCTCGAATTGGAGCGTTTCGAGGCAATGTCGAGGTCCTCGGTGGGTGGACTCTCAGGGTTGTGTGCGAAGTGGATCGAGATGGCGCACGGTTCGTCCTCTTGCAAGCCTACAAGAGGCGGAGAAGCCGCAGAATGCAGAAAGCGAAGAATTCAGAGAGGTCATGGACGTGAGCAAGGAAGCTGGGAAAGCAGAGAAGAAGGGCGGGGAGAAGTCGTCAAACACTCCTGAGAAACCGGAGATGTGCACGGCTGATGAGCTACACTACGTGCCTGTGCCTGGCACTGCGTGGCGGCTCGCTATGTGGCGTTACCTTCCAGCCAAGAATGTGAGTTCAACGTCATGCTCAGAATCTTGAATTTCGGGGATTTTGATTCCATGTTTTCAATTTGAACATTTTTTTTTATCCCGTTATTAGTTGTACGCGATTACTGTATTGGATTCCGTTTGCGTGATTTTTTGACTTCGTCATAGAGCTGTATCAATTTTGCAATATCTAATTGTTGTTTTGATGCAAATTAGGGAACACCGTGATGAATTTTGCTTCCATTAAGATATTAACATTGAAGTGTTAGCTTAATGTCAGTGCGCATCAGCTCTTGGAGGCGGGAGGAATACTCTACATCACTGATGAAGCTGTTGCACATTTTGCAGGCTACGAAAAGAAAACATCCCGTTTTGATGCTTTCCGGAATTGCAACAAACGCGTTCTGCTTTGATCTCGCCCCTAACGTGAGAACAACACCGTTATATATTCATAAGGGCTTTTCATCTGAGTGCAGACAATTTAATCTTGAGTCATTTGGGAAACTGTGTTTTGAAGTGTTTTCTTAGAAAGAGGTTGTTAATGGAGGCATTGTTCAATAGTGTGCAGACTTAGAATAGGGTTTGCCTTGATTTTATGTAGTAGGATTTGAATCTGTTAATCGCTTTCCTTAAATCATCTATTTTTTTGAAATTGGATTCAGGAAAGATGGTTTATGTGCCATGGTGGTTTCTTACATAGGTCTCGTTGGCGCGGTATTTAGCAGATGCAGGATTTGACACTTGGATATTGGAGGTCCGGGGTGCAGGACTAAGCAAGCGAGAGGGTGAGCCTTCTGCAGTTGAGGTAGGGGTTTCGGGTGGGGCTCTTAGTGGAACGATTCAAGAGAGTGTTGTTGGGGCAGCTATCGAAGGAGCCACTAGAGCGACTCCACACATGGAAAAACAGATTGAAGAAAAACATGTGGAGATTAGCGAAGGATCATTGACAGCAAGTCCAAGTGCTGCTTCAGTTGGTTCTAGTAGTTCAGTTGATTGGAATGGTTCAAGTGATAGATCTTCTGTAGGCCATGAGAGTGCCCCTGACAACCAGAGAACTAGTTCGAAGGATGAAGAAGTTGAAAAAGCTGAGGAAGTCCTTGAGGACAGCATTAGGAAGGAATCAAGGAGAAATGACCCGAAAAATTCATGGGTGATGAGTACGGTGAGTAGGATAGCAGAAAGATATGAGCGTCTAGTGCGCGTGAATAAGCCTCATCTTCTTCCAAACAAATTTTTCAATAAGGTAATGCTTGCCCCTACATAGTCACTTATGTTTGCGGAATGCTACATTGGTCCAACTTTTATTAGTGCTGAATAGTAACCTCGAGAAGTTTGGGAGTCTGGGCACATGATTCCATCTTCTACTACTACTACTACTAGAACCATTCTTCATGCATGTTTATTTTCTAATGTGCTCCAGATTACATCCCTCTTTGAACAAAATTATTTATACACGCGTATTTGGAAGCTAAATCAATCCTTGACGAGCCTTTTGAATGGGAAGAAAACGAGTGCAGCACTGGATCAACAATTATCGAATGCAACAAAGAGTATAGAAAGTTTGGTGGAGAGAAGTCAACGTTCGTTCTCGCCGACTTTTTCTAGCCTGCAGGTAACTGGCTCGTCAATTGGTTCAAATGTGATTTTAATTCGCCTCTATTTTACCTCCACCTGATTTAGGTCATTCTGGTTACTGATTCCAATCATACGCATCAATGTTTTCGTCTGTCTGAATTAGTTTTGAGGTACCATTCAATGCTTCTACGTCTCTGATTCAAGTCACCGTTTTATGCAGGGAAGACTGAACACAACAGTTGGTAGTGTCCATGAAGTTATTGAACTCGTCGCAAAGTACGATTGGGACTTTGACAACTATCTTGAGGAGGATGTACCTGTAGCGGTATGACACTCTTTTTTTGAGAAAGATTTGAGCCCCGAGATGAGATGTTAGGCCTTTTCTCCTTTGATTTCAGTTATTCACTGCAAGGGTATATTTACATTTCTGGATTTTGCACAGATGGATTATGTTAAGAGTCTTTCAGATTGTCCAGATGGCAAGCTGATTGGGCTTGGTCATTCGATGGGCGGCATTATTTTGTATGCCATGCTGGGCACCCGTGGTAAGAGTGCAAACCTTGCGACTCACTAATGTATTTCTCCTGTGATTGGTATTTTTATTAGAAGTCATTTTCCAAGATTTTTATTTTCGTGATTAGAGAACTATCTGAGGTTTCCAGAAAATCTGATCCTTGTCCGACGTTAATTATAAAATTGTGGGATGTCAGCGGACCACGGATTGAAGGCAGCTGTGACAGTAGCATCGTCGTTAGATTATGGAAAGTCGGATAGCTCCCTCAAGCTCCTCCTTCCACTCGTAAGCCTCAATTTCTTCGCTTATCCTCGGTAACATAGCTGCTAGGAACTACTCCAAGTTCATCATTTTATCGCTTCCTTGTACTCAGGCCATATGTACGTGTATGAGAAGCATGCATAATTTCGGTTTTGATTGTTTCCTTGGTCGAACATGCTGAATTGCGGTATTATCAAATTCTTGCCAAGTGCATATTGCTTGAGATAATGTGCTACTACTTAGAGTTTTTCATGCTGATCTGTATTGTATGTTACGCTTTCTTCAAATTTTAGGATGTACGTGGACTTTGGTTTTGCTTAAATTCTTCATTATGTATCACAGGCGAATCCTGCTCAACTACTAAATATCCCAGTAGTTCCCTTGGGGTTGATGATGTCGGCTGTGGCACCCTTAATCACAAAGCCACCCTACCCACTCGCATGGATCGGCTACCATGTCTCAGCCAAAGGAATGATGGACGTGGAATTGTTTCAAAAGCTAGTGCTGACTAATTTTTGTGAGTTCTTGTTCTTACGCCCTTGTAAACATCAGCATAATGAAGGCATGCGCCATCCTGTGCTGAGTCCAATGATCTCTGGAAATTTATTATTGCATTTCTTGTTCAATCATTGATTGTGAAGTCCCTAATTTTATTCCACAATAGGTACTATTCCAATGGGTTTGTTACATCAACTTCGATCAGCTTTCGAAAGTGGAGGTCTGAAGAACCGTGATGGATCAGTGTTTTACAAAGACCTTCTCAAGGATTGTGAAGTTCCCGTTATGGCAATTGCTGGTAACCGTGATCTTATCTGCCCCACTTCTGCTGTAATTGGTAAGATTGTGAGGTCTTTAATAGTACTGCTCATTATCTCTATCTCTGCACTAGGTAATTGAGAGGAAAATTTAACGTGACTGGTCGCATTTCAAGTTCTTGTTTAGATTACTTCTGAAGTCGTACGGTGTAATGCTTGTAGATACCACAAAGGTGTTTCCGAAGGGAGTGACGTACAAGGAATTTGGAAGCGGAAATGGGCATTATTCTCATTATGACCTTCTGTGCGGTCGGACGGTATGTCATCCAGTGTCTTCTTTATTTGTGATTTGCTTGATAGCAATTAATTAACCTTATTTTTTTTATTTGTGAACACATAATCGAGTTTTAAGCCCGTAATATGTATTACACTAACTGGATCTCGCTTTGGTATATGCAGGCGAAGGAGGAGGTTTATCCCGAAGTGTTGAAATTTCTTGTTGAGAACGATGAGTAGATGATTACTTGTAGCGGCTCTTGTAGTTATGGAGTTCATAGGTAGTGTTGACGTTGTCAATATCAGCTTGTAAACTGAATTTACCATTAAATGGTCATTTGCTTCTAGTACTGGCTGTAGAAGATGCAAGTCCCATTCATGCCAATGTCTCAGCGGTTATCTGCCAATGGATTTGTTGGACAGTGATATTCTGGAACATGGTTGAATACTAAATTGATCTCCTTGGAATGCAAACACTACCATAGAATAAACACAGTTAATGAGAGAAACAATTTATGGAATAAGTCTTTCGATGCGCTCATAATTTAGAAAAGGACTTGGAGGTGATCAACACGCACAGCTTTCTGTTTTAGCAATTGGACTTCCCATGTTGAGTGTGTAGTGCAGTCCAAATCTGCAGAAAGAGACTAGTTTCCCAGCTCCAATTCACCGTGTGTTTGGTTGAAAAATTCACTAGAGGTTAGCAAGGTAATACGCTGCAACGCAGCAAGGAAAACACTTGAAAGCTGAGAAACATTATTTTATAAGGATGCAAGTCATCATTACAAGACAGCATGCAAGCAATGTGTGTCTGTGGCAGATAGCAGAGAATCTAGTATGTGATGCTTGACTAAGTAACTGGCTATTGGACCGCCTATTAACTGGCTGAAGGAAGGTAAGCCACACAGGTAGCATGCTCTTCAGATCTACGCAATTCCAGCGACAGATGATTCAGAAGGAATTCATGCATAAAAGCATACTAAGAATGTCTGGACGCTGCAGTAACTAGCGCTACATTGATATTTGTAAGGTGCACTAACAAGCAATGGCGTGGCAGTTGATGAGCTCTTGTAGCTCTGTAACTGCCATCGTAAAATCGTGCACTATCATATTTAACGTTGTGCTGATCCTGCTGCAGATCGTTGCAACCTCGGGAGCCACTCGGTTTCCAAGACCGCCCTTGTCGACCAACTCGAGATGGGTGGTAGATCGCTTTGGAGTACGAGTAAAGCTCTCATGTGTTAACTGGGTGGGCCACTTGGAGCCTGGCATCCCAGAAGGGTTGAACAAGAACACAGCTCGTGGAATTGCAATTCTCGTTAGAGCGACTGGGTTCAACTGCGTTCGTCTTACGTCGTCGACATGGCTGTGGACGAATGATTCATACGGGGGTCTCACTGTAGCGCAGAGCTTTAGCAATCTGAACATCACGTCTAGTAGCATTGCACTGAGAGCTATAAACCCCGAGTTGTACCCGCTGACATTGAGGGAGGTTCACCACCAAGTGATAAATATTCTGACAGCTCAAGGACTGATGGTCATCTTAGACAACCACGTCAGTAAGCCCCAGTGGTGCTGCGCGAGTAACGATGGGAATGGTTTCTGGGGAGACGAATTCTTCGACGCAGAGACGTGGTTGATGGGCCTCACCACAGTCGCAAGTGAATTCAGCAACAACCCATTCGTGGTAGCCATGAGCTTGCGAAACGAACTACGAGGTTCTCGTCAAAACAGCTATCTATGGAGGGTGCTCATGTCAACAGCAGCGCAAGCTGTCCACGACGTAAACCCAAATATCTTGATCATCGCTGGTGGGTTGAACTTCGGAACGGATCTCTCATTTTTGAATAAGGGCGCTCTCGAAACCTCCCGGTTCCCAAACAAGCTGATGTATGAGTTTCACTGGTATAAAACTTCTCGTCTGGCGCGAGGCGGAAACTTCAACAATGCCAGTGATCAGAACGCTTGCGCGATAAGTCAGAGCAACGTTCACGCGGATAATGGTTTCCTCCTTGAAAAAAACGCACCTCTCTTGCTATCCGAGTTTGGAATCAACCTGGACTCCACGAACATCTCTGAAACTCAGTTTTTGGATTGCGTTATTGATTACCTGGAGAGGGCCGACCTGGATTGGGCATTCTGGGCGTTGCAAGGAAGCTATTACTTGCGCGATGCCGTGAGAGATGCTGACGAAGTATATGGCCTACTGGAATCGACTTGGAGATCTTTCCGTAATCCCACTGTCGTCTCAAGGTTGCGATACACCATCCAGAACTCTACCCAAGGTACGACCGCAACAGCCTCTACTTACGAATCGTTGTGAGGTTGTACATGGATACTCAGAAAAGAAGTTTAAAAAGAAAAATACACAACTTGCAACTTCTTGTGTTCGAATGTAAAGCAGCCAAAGGTTGTGATTTGGAATTACCTCGAAGGATTTCTCACATCAATGGTCAACGCTGTTGAATCCATGTCAACTGCAGGTCCACAGAGGAAGCTGTAAAGAACCAGAAGCTGCTTACTCTAATGCTACATTACAACAGAATACACCGTGCTTGTGAGAACCAACCTATGTTAGCGGCAACACAGATTAGGAGAATTATCTGGATGCATTAACTCCAGTGCATTGAATAAAGCATTGGTATCAGATTGCAACACTGATAGTTAAAAGACTTTTGGTACTAATTTAAATACTGTCTGACAGATTTTTGTGATGCAGAAGTTTTCTCGGCCCATTCTTCCGTTACCAAACATGATTCATTTATGATGTTGTGTCGAAAGTCCAAAATAACTAAATCTTTGAAATTATGTAGGTGATCTTTGGAATTGATTCTAGCAGAAACTTGTAAAAGTATCCAATGGCTCGAATAAAAACCGTTCTCATCATGCTGTAAAGTGTTGAGAATGCAGTGAGTGCCTAGATTAAGGGGATCTTTTCAGTAAAAATTCGTTACCTCATAACCTCAAGACTCCATCATAATGAACTCATAAGCATAACACGTGCATGAGAAATTCAGAATGGGCTTAAAAAGACTTGCAGTGAATCAATTACGCTGGAATCACATGCCTCATGAGAATTGGTAAATCATAACAATGACTTCATGATGCTAATCCTCACACTTCCAAGTTGGAATTCCTTCGTGGAGCAGAACCATTTCTGAGTCTAATGCAAGCTCCAACCAGGTTCTGTGAGGACTCAACAAATTTGCTTCGCTGTCTCGTGCGTGTCATTCAGTAGAGCGTAGCTCGAACTATATCTCATCTGCAAATACACGATGAAAGACAGAAGCATCATTTACCAAACAAGTACTTGAGTTCTAAGGTATATTGCAGGTTTCCATAACAATATATAGAAATACACACAATATGACTTTGAAAACTTCATTTTATCGAATTTACCCTTAAAGGATTTTATCGAAGTGATAGGATTTCATCTATTTTGGATAGATGAACATATCTAGTTTATCTATCATATAATTTACACTTATTTTAGAAACAATGCACCCTTTATTTTATCTAATATATTCAGTATAATATTAGAGAGCACGCAAACTAAATGTTAATATGGTATCAAAGCTAAGTTCTTAAGAGAACATTGCAGATTTGTTTGCTTCTTGAATAAGTAGAATCATTCAAGGAGAGTAGAGAAAGTTTGTTCTTTCACTTATTATCTTTGTACTTACATATCTACAATATAGAATTATGGATCTACTTATGTGAGACATCATTATCTCTATGAAGTTAATATATAAAATAGATAATATATTAAATAGATAATATATTAAGAGACATACATATAATAAGAAGTAATTTTGATGCATATATGTATTACATGCATAAGAATGGTGATATTATTATACTTATGCTATATACTAATAATTTTTTTTTATTACTAATAGTAATATTAAGTTTATTATTTTTTATTAAAAGCTTACCTTCATCATAAAATTGATATGGTTGATTTTAGAATCGTTTAATAATATTTAAGAGCTTATTTTAATAAAACATCATAAATTATTTTTATTCACCAAATAAAATTTGTAAAAGGCATCTTAAAAGAATTTGAGATGTTGGATTATAGATCTTATTAAAGACATGAATTTCAAAGAATCAAAAAATCAATATACTCTTGCGTTATTTAAAAAGACTAAATAAACACTCAAAGATGATATAATATTAAACTAGAATGGCTATTACCAAAGATACAAAGATTAGAAAGACTTGAAATAAGTCTAAGGATTGAAAAGGCATTGACAAGAGTGAAAGAGGTTTTATTCTTGCCTCCATATATACTATCTAGTTAAGAGCTATGTGGCAATGTTCTGTAGGACCTCTAACATGTGTTGAACTTGCAGAACATGTATCTTAATTTGCAATATAAGTTTTTTATATGTATACCATATAATTAGCTTGTATAATAAGTTACCAACATATGCAATATGTGACTAACTTGTTGGCTAAGTTTCTAACCTAATAATCAACTACAAACATGTATAAAGTCAAAGCCACATCTATGAAGCTTTTAAGAAGCTTTTCTATAAGATATTATTAAATTTATTTATTTTAATCTACTTCTATTTATTCATATTATCTAAGTAATTATTCGAATAAATATGTCTGTCTATGATATTACCTCCCATTCTAAAGATAAGTTTCATGAAGAGTGGTAATTATATATTGATGAAATTTAAGATGCAATAAATTATATTTGTTACATATTTTGATCTTTATTTCTTTTAAAGGTGATTAATAGATCTTCTCAACCATTAATAATTTTCTATTCTAGGGCCGAAAGACCACCCTATTATTTAATAATTATTAAGGCCTTCATAACCTCTTTAAAATTAAACATTTGTAATACCATCATAAATTGTTTCAACTTCCAATAAAACCACCAAACATCAAGAATCTCTTTCAAGGTTGTGATATCAAATATATTGTATCTCGCCATTTATTTGACGAAGAACATACCAATCTTGAAGATCTTCATCTTTAATATGTTGATTTGAAGGCTATGACAATTATAATGTTTCATCTAATAATTTAATAAATGATAACTCTTAAGTTGAATATACTAATTATTGGTTTTCCATCTATTTAGAGCTAAAAATATATAAAAATATAAATAAAGATAAAATATAGAATATTATCTTTCTAGAATCTTGTTTCTTTTATAGCAAAGATTTATCATTCTTTATCTTGATTTTGATGGATGTTGTCAATATAAAGCATTAATATTCTTTACTACATTTGTAAGTTTTTTAATAAGCTCTTATTATCAAGGACAAGAATTTAATTAAAAAATTAATAATTAAGTAAGATTTTTTTTAAAGAAATATGACAAAATAGAAGTAAGAAAACTTGTATATTAAAAAAAATTTAGAATGGCTATTGCCTAAAGACAAAAAAATTAAAGATCTTAGAATCTAAAGTAGAACAAGAAAAAAATTAATAAGAGTGAAGAAGGCTTCATTCTTCCCTCTATATATATTATCCACCTTAGACCTATGTGGTAACGTTCTATAAGACCTCTAATATGTGTTGACTTTATAAGCCACATGTCTTAACTTGCAAGGCAGGTTTTCTATATGTATGCCACATAATTAGCTTATTCTATAAGCTATCTATATGTGTGACATGTGATTAATTTATTGACTAAGTTTCTAACCTAAAAGTTAATTATAAACTTAAGTAAAGTCAAAACCATATCTATGAAGCTTTTAGAAAGCTTTTTTAGAAGATATTATAAAGTTAATTTATTTTTATATATTTTTATCTACTTCTACCTAGTCATATAAGTATTTATTAGAATAAATATGTATATATGTTTGTAACATTATCCCTCTTTTTAGGAATAAGTTTCATGAGGTATAGTCATCATATATTGAAAAAATCTAAGATGCGACAAATTATACTTTTTACATACTTTGATCTTTATTTTCTTCAAAGATGGTTGATAGGTCCTCTCAGCCATCAATAATGTACTATATTAGGATAATAAGATTACTTTGTTATTTTATTGTTGTTGAAGCTTTCATAATTTTTTTCAAATAAAACATTTAAAATACTATCAAGAATTGTTTCTACTTCTAATAAAATCACCAAATATTGGGAGTTTCTTCCAAGGCCATGATATCAAATATATTGCATCTTGTCATCTATTCAAAGAAGAACATGTAATTTTTTAATATCTTTGTTTCAATTACGTCATCTTAAAGGTTGAGACAATTGCAATGTCTCATTTGATAATTCAACAAACAATAGCTCTTGAGTTGAATCCTTTAATTGTTGATTCTCCATCTCTTTGGTACCACAATATATACAAAAGCTACAAACAAAGATAAAAAAATATAATATTAACTTTTCTTGAACTTATTTTTTTTATAGCAAAGATTTATTATTCTTCATTTAAATTTTGATGCATGTCTTTGATAAAAAGCCTCCACTTTCTTTACTACATTTATAAGATTCTTTGCTGGCTTCTATGTGCATATATTAATATCATATTGGTGCCAATGAATAAGATATTTTAATATATTTTGGTACTATTTTGAATCTAAGATTTCTTCTATATCAAATTTTTTATTATTATCCACTTTTATAGAAAGAGGTGGCACTTATTTCTTCTTAATATATTCATTGTCTTATATGATTTAAGAAGATACACGTAGAATATAAGATGGATCTTCATTGACTCTTGTAGGTATAATCAATAAGCAATTGGCTTGATTTCTTCACAAATAGGAAAAGATCTAAGCTTACAATAGTTCAACTTATCATAAGAGCAAATATCCTTGATATTACGAAAAAATAATCATATCCTATCATCTACATTGAATTGTGGTTGTTCTTTGCAATAGGCATTTGTATTTATTATTTATCATTCTTAAGTTTTTTTTAATTGTGCCTTCATTGTTGCATGTAGCTCTAACAAATAATTTTCTAAATCTTTTGTCACAGGATTATCAGTTCTTAAAAAGTCAAAAACATCAAATCATGGATAATAATCATAATTAGCAAAAAAAGATGTTTGATGAATATTAGAGTGTATTGTGTTAATTTTGATAAACTTTGCTAATGGCAATAGAATCGTCCAATCAGCTTGTTGGTAGTTGATAATACACTACAAATATTGCTTCAAAATTTAATTAACATGGTCCATTTATCCATCAATTTGAAGATGAAAGATGAAAGATAACTTTATATCTACCTTTAAAAACTTGAAAAGTATTCTTCAAAATCTTGATACAAATTGAGTCTTCCTATCTGATATAATATCCTTGAATAATCTATGATGATAATAGATATTTTTTTAAAAAAACTTAGTTATTGTTTCACTTATAATAGATTTTATACATAATACAAAATATGACTTTTTGATAAAATGATCTACTATCACAAATATAAAATCATACAAACTTGAGACTAAAAAATCCTTGATAAAATCTATTGAAATAAAAGATCATGGTTGTTTAAGTATACATAATAGTTAGAAAAATCCATAAGATTAATGACAAGGAGTTTTTGACCTTGAACAAATGTCACATGACTGGACAAAGACTTTTACTGCCTTCTACATTTACGGCCACTAAAAATCTCTACATATAAGCTCCAAAGTCTTGTTGTATCTAAAATATCCGGATGTTGGAAAGTCATGACATACTTAAAGAATATGTAAACATGCATTTTTTTTTGGAATATATAGGCGTCTTTCAAAATAGAATAGATTATTCTTGAACTTAAACTTAGAAGCATCATGAGACTAAAAAAAGAATTTTTGATATCATAAATAAGAAAATCAAAGGACATATTTTATTAAATTTGTTTGATAAAGTTTAAATCAACACTTAATGTTGATTTTATTGCTCAAAGATGAATACACTTTA